AGGAGGAGGAGGAGGAGGAGGAGGAGGAGGAGGAGGAGAAGGAAGAGGAGGAGGAGGGTGGGGAGGAGGATGAGGTGGAGGAAGCGGCCAAGCAGGGGAGGGGCGACAAATGGTGCTGTCGTGATCGTCGTGGGCAGGCGATCCCCAAATTCTTGGGGCCCGCCTGTTCAATACTTCTCGGCGTCTCGTGGGGACGTGGGAAAAGTTTAGGAGCAATCCTGGAGCCTTGGGAGGCAGTCCTGGAGCGGCCTGGGGCCAGATTGGAGCCGTCTTGGAGACCGTCTTGGAGGCCATGTGGCCCCCAGAGCTATGGTGGTGCGTATTCTTTGGGGGGGCCTTCCCCTCCCCCAAACCAACCTCCTCCCCCCTGCCGCTCCTCGCTCTTTCCCTCCGCCCCTTCCCCATCGACAGTCGGGACTTCTCCCCACAACCAGCAACGCATTTCGGCGGCATCCACAGCCGTGGCTTCCTCCCCCAAGCCCACTTGTCTTCTAGAGGCCATGTCCTCACCCACCTGGTTTCGGCCAGGCCAGGACGACTGTCCACAGTGATGGTCCGTTTGTTCGTTCTTCCCGATCCGCCTGAGAATGACCTTGCGAGTCGTGCTCTTGACTTTGGCCTAGTAGGCGTGGGGGAAAGTGCAAAACAGCCAACGAACCTGTACAAGAGGAGCGTGTGGCAGGACAGTTCGGCGGCGAGCCCAGGGGGGAACGTGAGAAGGAGAAGGCCTTCTCAGAAGGCTCGGAAGCCCCCCGGCCTTTCTGAGAAGTTTGCCAAGCCCTCCCCGAAGACGCAGAAGGCTTCTCAGGAGGCGCGAGGGCCTCTGAGAAGTCCCGCCTCCTTCTGCGAAGGCCTTCGCCTTCTCGCTTCCCCCCCCCATCGCTCGCCGCCGCACAGCGCCCCGACGCGCGGCGCGCAGCGCGCGAAGACATGACGGCACGTGCCGCTACACGCCGGTCGTTGAAAGTAGGTATTTTTGGATTCCCACATCCCGATCTACTTCAAGCGCCTTCCTACTTCAAGAGTCGGCTTGCTGTTGCTGTGTTTTGTTATTCTCTGGGAGGGCCTGGACCCAATCCACTTGATCCGCCTTCCTACTTCATGTTTTTACCTACTTCTTCCAGCCGACGTGTACATCTGAAAGGCATGCGGCCTCCGTCGTCCCGCGCAGGCCGAGCTCGGCACGCGCCCCCCCCCCCAAAGGTGGGACGTTCCTGCGCGTCTCGTCTCGTCTCCCTGGCGCCGTGCCCCAGTCTGTCGGAGACCTCCTACCCTGACACGTCGATTGAGGAATTGGCCGTTTTCGGTTCGCGAGGGGGCGTCGCGGCCGTCATTTTTGCGGGTCCAGGTCCGTCGGTTTCGGTCACAGGCCGTTTTCCCTAAGGGGAGGTCTACTAAAGGGAGGTTTGTCCACCGCCGAGTCTGGGCCTCCGAGAGGGGGTCCGAGCAGATGGTGTAGAAGGACAGCTCCGCATCGCCGATGCCTCGGCGATGCGGCTCGATGGTGGAGCCCGATTTGCTCCACGCTGGCGTCGCCGATGCATCGCCGGCCGCGCCCAGGCATCGCCGATGCAGCAGGAGCACGATTCGGAGCACGCGGAGCCTGACATCTCCTTCCATCACGGCAAGCACCTCTCAGAGGTCGCGCGGCCGCGGCCCGGCGCCGCACACCAGGCGCAGGGCGGCCATGCAGTGCGGCCCAGCGCCGGCGGCGGCGGCGGCGGCGGCAGGGGCGGGGCAGGCGCGGGCCCGGCGCCAGCCTCCCCAGCCAGTTCGGGCGAGCTGCCGCGGGGCGTCGTCGGCGCCAGGCCGGACTCCTCGGCCAGACCCAGGCCGCCCTCCGCGCCGCCGGGCGGCTGCCTGGGGCTGCGGAGCGCCGTCGGCTCCGGGCTGCCCCGCTCGGTCGGCCCTGGGCTGCGGCCGCCGTGCTCGCCCGGCGTCGCGCCTGGCGCCCCCTCCGCCTCGCCAGGCCTCGCGTCTGCGTCGCCGGCGCGGAGCCGGATCGCCCGCGGCTCGTGCCGGACGCCGACGTCGCGGTAGCTGCCGAAGAGCGCCGCGTCCTCCTCCTCGAAGCGCGGCACGCAGGAGTGCAGCATCCGAACGGCGCGGCGCGCCAGCTGAACGCCGATGGCGCACCGGACCCTCCGGAGGAGCAGCTGGTGGCCGCGCAGCCCACGGCGCCGGGCCGCCTGCGCCGCCATCGCGGAGAGCATCACGCTGGTCTCCGGGTGCTCGCGGCCCCACGCCGACCAGACCATGGGCCCGTAAGTGATGTCCTGCGCCCGCAGCCCCGCCTCGTACTCCAGGTAGTCCCCCTGCTTCTTGCGGTACATCGCGTCGCAGCAGTCCGCGCCCGCGCTGGTGGCGTCGGGGCTCGTGATCCCAATGTCCAAAGCCGCCAAGCGGCCCAGGAGGGCCGCTGAGGTCAGGGTGTCCGCAGGGCGGAGCGTTGGAGCAGAGGGAATGAGCCCGAGAGCTTCGGTCTCGGCGGTGGGGTCTGCCAGGTGCCCAAGCCGAAGCACCTCGACCCGGACGTCGTAGTGCCCGCGGGTCGCTTCCGACAGGGCGCAGCAGAGGGCGTGGGGAGCCAGTCGCACCCAGCGAGGCGCCGCACCGGGCGCAGAGCGAGTCGGGGCTCGCGCAGACGGCGCCCACCCGGAGCCGGACCGCCACCTGGAAGTCGCTCCTGGGCACCACTGGGCCATTCGCGCGCGAGACCCAGCCACAGCCACTCGTGCGACGCGGAGGGGTCACGCAGCTCCAGGAGGCGCCGGCGGCGGTCCTGCAGCGCCGGCGTGTCCAGCTGCTCCAGGAGGCGGACGACCGCCAACGCGTCCTGGACGGCGCACAGGGCCGCCTGTAAGCTGGCGGGCTCGAACTCGGCGTCCTCGGCTCCTGCGGGCAGCACCAGAGCGTCCCCGGCCAGGGCCGATTCGCGCCAGCGCCTCGCGCCAGCGAGCGCCGCCTCTGGAGTGCCGCGCGCCTCGACCGCCTGCAGCCTGACACAGCATCGCGTGGCGACGCCCCAAAGTGGGGAGGGTCTTCTGCGACCAACGAAGTCAACGAATCGACACCGAATGTGGAATCACTTCCGACTTTTTTTTTCGGGGGGCCATTGTCTAGATTTTGAAGCCCATTTGGAAGGACCGAAACCATGCCATGGCATGGCTCTGGAAATAATGGCGCCAACGCTGCAGCGGGGGCACGATTCGGAACGAGCGGAAGCGCGGAAATGAGGCCAGCGCTGCAGCGGGAACGCGATTCGGAACGAGCGGTGGCCCGCAAATGAAGCCAGCGCCTCAGCGAGAGCAGCATTTTGAAAAAGAAGAAGCGAAAACCCGTTTCCCGGGAAGCCTATGTGTAAAACAAAAATACGCGAAGGGGGGACCGGCCATTTCCCAGGCGTCACCAGGGGAGAGAGGAGAGTAGTAATCCCATTGTGTAATTATGAAGGGCCCTAGGTATTCCAGATTTCGTAATAAAGGGAGGGGGGCCTCATTTCGGGGGGGGGTCTCTTCCAGGCTATCTTGGAGGGCCTGGGGGGTCTGGGGACGATGTTCTGGAGGGTTCTCCGAGGGGGGAGGTCTGAAATTGCTGTTCTTGGAGGGTCCAGACCCCCTCCCTTTTATTACGAACTCTGGAGTAGGGAGTTTTTGTTCAAGGCCCGGCGATATCCCGTGTTGTCGGCCCCGCAAGCCCCCCCCCCCGTCGGATAACACGGCCCTGTCGGCTGCGCAGGTCCGAAGGGGGTAATTACGCAGCACGGGCGCGCGCGCGGGCTCACGCAGGGCTGCCCAAGACGAAATGGTGTGCTTATCGGCTGGCATCTCCCCTCCCACCCCTCCATCGGTATCGTTTAACCAACCCCCATCCCCATCCCCATCCCCTGCGCGACCCCCACCAAATTACCCCCCCAGTTGGGGATATGCCCCTCGAAACCCGAAGGGGGCGGCCCATATCCCCATCTAGGGGGGTAAATCGGCCAGTGGGGCCCAGGCCACGCCGCTGGGGATGGGGATCGGTTAAACGATACTCACTCCACGGGCAACCCGTGCCATCGTCGACCAAAAAAAATCATGTTCCACGTGCACGGCCGGGCAGTGCCTCGAGGCATGCCGGGGAAAGGTGGGGATCCGGGGCCCGGGTCTCGGGATAGCATCCGCGCTGAAAGTTTAAAAACCTGCAGGAACGTCGGCCGCCGTTTGCCGCCCCCACAGCTGCGCCTTCGGAGTTCGTCCGGAGGGAGGCCTTCGCGGCGGAGTTCTTGCCTCCGCCGCCGCCGCCGCCTCACACACCGAACGCGGTGTAGAGTAGAGCAAGAGCATGGCCAGGTGCGGTCTCGAGGCGTGCCGCGGAAAGGCGGGGCCCAGGGCTCTGATCACGGGAGCTCCTCCGCGCCGAACTTCCGGAAGTGCAAGGATTTTTGGCCGCCAGGGCGTTTCGTTTGAATCGTTATTCTTTACCATTGACGAACTTGAAGCTTAGAAATTGGCAGCAGTTTCACAAATGGAGGGCGGGCGGTTTTCAACATGTGGTTTTCGCCCCAATGCCGCTCACATTCGTTTTAAATTTTTGTAACCGCTTCACAGATGGATGGCGGGAGGTCTTCAAAATGTGGCTCTCGCATTAGCGCCGTACACAATTGTCTTCAGAAGTTGCGAGAGTTTCATATTATGGGCGGGCAGGTTTCAAATTGGTTTTCGCCCCAGCGCCTCGCACATTCGTTTTGAAAATTCGCAAGAGGTTGACGGATTGAGGGCGGCTCTTTTTCAAAATGTGGTTCTCGCTTTAGCGCCGCGTACAGTCGTGCCAAAACATTCCATCGGCTCACGGATTTTCACGGTTGACGCACCAGACCTGGCGTGTTGGAGCGATTCAGGATTGTCAGGGCGCAACGGGTACGCTGATCCGCGATGTGGAAATCTCAGGATTGGTGTTTTGGCACGGTTCAGGATTGTCAAGACGCAACAGGCGCAGTGATTCGTGGAGTTGAAGTCATGAGCAGGTTTTCGGGCGCGCGTCAGGATCTTCGCACGATTCTATCCCAACAGGTCACTTCTCTCAGTGCAAATGCGCCTTTGCAGGGGTTCATGCAGAGGGGAGCCTGGAGGGTGGATGTACTCCAACATCGTTGATGAGTCTTGGGTTTACACTCCTCCTCCTCCTCCTCCTCCTCCTCCTCCTCCTCCTCCTCCTCCTCTCGGACGTGTTCTTGTGCGCTGCTCCCAGACCCCCGACGTCATGATTTTTTCATGACGCGACCCCAAGAGGTCCAGACCCATTCCCCGGGACCGGTTCTTCATCCTGAGTCGTTTGTTGACGGTCCCGAGGCCCGGTGAGGGCCCCCAGAGGCCGAAAATGGCGAAAAACCTCCCGTCGTGATTTTTTCATGACCCGAGGGGGTCTGGGCTCCCACCTCTCCGCGCGGTCGGATCTCCGCCCTGCCTCCTCCCGCCGGCCCGCGGCGGCCCGCGGCGGCCCACGGCGGGGCCCCGCTGGCGGGCGGCCGCGCCCCCCCTCTGCGGCGAGCCGGCCTCTGTCCGCTCCCGGCGCGCAGGCCGAGGCGGCCGTCTCTGGCGCTCAGGTTCGATCCCTCCGAGTCGAGTACACCCTTTCGGTAGCAAGTCATGGGAGCCTGGTGTACCCTTTCAATTCCGTCTTTAGCGTCGGTTAGCGTCGATTAGCGTCTGGGGGTCGATGAGAGAACGCCGATTTAGCATCAGTTAGCGTCGGTTAGCGTCGATTTAGCGTCGCTTAGCGTCGACTAGAGTCGATTAGCGTCGATTCGCAAGAGCCGACAAGATGGTATGGGAGGCTCCCATGAGTTGCCACCGAACACCCTGGGCGATGCTCAAGAAAACTTGCGTCTTCGGCCAGAGTCTCGTCTATTCTTAATGTTCCAATGCAACTCCTAAGAGGTTAACAGAAATTTGGGGTTATTATTGAAATCCTGAGGCTATGAATTTCTGAACCCATGATTTCTTGAGTATTTCGCAGGGTGTATACAGGTTCGATTTCGATCCAGATCCGGGTCGACGCCGGAGTCCGATCTGAGCTTCGGCTCCTCAGTGGAGGCCCTGCAAGCTGGCCCAGTCCCCGTGCGACCGGGATGGGTGCGGAGGGGAGGGTGGCGAAGACGGTCACCGAATTCCTCCAGCTCTGGCCGAACCAAGAGCTCGACGAGGTATATTGAGATCAAGTCGACGCGCCGAACATGTGCCCCAAAGAGTTACGGAATGCGAGCGGTGTTTCGGCCATAGCTCGAGTAGCAGACAGATTCCACGCGTCCCGATCGTCTAGACTGAAGCTTCGGTTACTGCTGAAGCTCTACCATGACACCGTCTCTGGGCCTCCCAGACGGGGCCCGACGGGGTCGGTGCATCGGCGATGCGGCTCGATGGGGAGGCCGACGTTCACGCGGATGGCGCCGATGCATCGTGGATGCACCGGCGATGCGGCGAGATCCTCTAACCCCATCTGCTCCGACCCCATGTGGGAGGCCTCAAATTGCGACGAAGACGGACAGCAGTTCTCTCCATTTGGGGCAGGGCTCGATGTCGGCGTCGCCGCGGGCGCTGCCAAATTTTAGACAGAAGGTCGCCTGCCCGACAGCGGCCGCTGTCTGTTTGGGGTAGCACCTGCTGTTGGGTCTCGTATCCAGCTGCTCTCCGTACCCACCTCGGGCGTGCCAATCGCCCCGATGGTTCTCAGGGCGCGTGCACGAGCCGAGCGTGTGCTCACCCCGCGCAGCTCCGCCGGTAGCACGTAGTTCGCATTACGTCGGGCCTGTCCCTCTACAGGGGGAATGTTAAAAAACAGTCCACTAATCGTCTGGGAACTATTTTTTGATTTTTTCACATTTTTATAGGGTATTTGTTTGGGGGGGATTCTTAATTGTTTGTCCAACATCGGCCTGTAGGGGGACAGGCCCGACTTAAGCGCAGCAGGCGTCCGCCATCTTCGAAGCATCGGGGTCCTGAAAAGTCCGACGCCCGATCGTTTCTGCCGTCCTTCTGCCTCTCGGGGCCCTCCCCGAGCCCGCGGACCGCCAAAAGTCAGGTCAGGAGGGGGAACAAAAAACACACGCAGACACACAATGAATCTTCGACTCCACAGGAATATGGAAAATGTGGGAAGTGGGGGGGAAGACAAAAGCCCAGAAACTATGGGGCAATGTGGGGAATCCTGTTATTTTGTCTATGTGCTTGTGTGTCCCGGGCCCCCCTCAAAAATACAAGTCAGGATGAAGAGCTGTTCCCGGGGAAGGCCCTGGTCCTGGACCCGTTGTCTTCAGGACCCATTTGTTTCATGCCAGGTTGCAGGCCGCCATGGGCGCCGCTGGAGACGCACCGAGGGGCTTATGGTGGACAGGCACACGCTGGCGCCCACACCCGCTTTGAGGATGATCGATCGTCCCTCTTCTGCCGTGGCCCCCCCGCCTCGGCAGGCTGCATGGGCAAGAACCTGGTGTCCCCGGCGTTTGAGGCCGCGGGCCTCAAGGACGCCCCTCCCTGCCCGCGGCTTGGACCCGGGCCTCCCAGACAGGGCTCGAGCAGAGTGGGGGGGGGGCATCGCGCCGCATCGCCGATGCACGCATCGGCGGTGCGGCTCGAGGTGGGGCCCGAGGTGCCCCACGCCGACGTCGCCGATGCATTTGGTGATGCGGTGCGTTCCTCCGACCCCCTCTGCCGGGTCCCCGATGGGAGGCCTCCTCAGGGTAGGTTGGCGTCCTGTCGACCAGCGGCGACCCCGCCGCCGGCGTTCAACGTTGAACGCCGCCAGCGACCCGGAATCGGTCGAGATTGAACGATCTGACGTTTTGGAAGTTGCCGATTGTGCACGGTGGGATTGTGTTTTTTGTGGTCACCCCTTCCGCCCCGCCCGCAGGCCGCCCGTGGCACTTGGACCAATACATGCACAGATGAAGTGTACACGTATCTACGTACACATACAACAAACATACAACATACGTATACACATATCTATATACATACATATATACATATATTTATATGCAGACACGTGCAACACACAACACACTACACACAACATACAACATCCAACACACAGTATACACCCATACATACATACATACATACATACATACATACATGCATACACACATATGCACATGCATACACACATACATACATACACGCATAACTATACACCTACATACACGTGTACATACATACATACGTACATACATACATGCATGCATGCATACATACATACACGTCCACACATCCATCCATACATACATGCATACAAACATACATACATACGTACGTACGAACAGGCATACACACATACACACATACATACATACATACATACATACATTCATATATACATACATACATACATACATGCATGCATGCATGCATACATACATACATACATACATGCATGCATGCATGCATGCATGTCTGCATGCATACATACATACATACATACATACAGCCATACATACATACATACATACATACATGCATGCATGCATGCATGCATACATACATACATACATGCACACATACATACATGCATCCATGCGTACATACACATACACTCACGTATCCAGACCTACATACACACATGCATACATACACATAATCATACATGCATGTGTACGTACACACATGCATACGCACATACATATACCCACACGTACTTGCATACATACATATTTCCATACACACATACCGACATGCATACACACGTACACACATACATACATACATACATACATGCATGCATACATGCATGCAGTTATACATACATACATACACACATACACACATGTACATACATGCATACATACATTCATTCATACATACATACATAGATGCATGCATGCATGCATGCATGCATACATTCATTCATTCATTCATTCATTCATACGTACACACATAAACATACCTGTATACATACATGCATACATGCATGCGTACACACACTTACATGCATACATACATACGCGCACACACATGCATGCATACATCCATCCATCCATCCATCGATCCATCCATACATCCATACATACATAGAAGGAGGGGTGGGAAGAGGAGGAGGAGGAGGAGGAGGAGGAGGAGGAGGAGGAGGAGGGGGAGGGGGAGGGGGGGTGGGAGACGGAGGAAGAGGAGGAGGAGGAGGAGGAAGAGGAGGAGGAAGGCGGACGGAATGAGGAATGGCCGAGGATGGAGACGCAAACATTGTTTAGCCATTGCTTCTTGCATTCCTTCCCTCCTCCCTTCCTGTCCTATCTGATCCCTCCCTGTTTCCTTCCTTCTCCTGCGCCCTCCCTCCACTCTCCTTCTCTCCCTGCCCCCGTTCACAATTTGCACGACTACGGCGAAGACGTAACCCCAAGGCTGCCGAAAGGGGCCCGCGAGACGCCCCAAGAGGGCCCCAAGAGGACCCCCCATATCCACCACCACTACAGAGGCTGCCTAAGAGAGACCAGAGATTCCCGTTCCTTGGCGCTCGTCCTCCACGTGCATGCCACATGCATGGATTGCACGAGGCGTTGATGCCCCGAGCTGGTCCGCAAAGGCCCTTCATTTTGGATGCAGCCTGCATTTGGTATTGTCAGAACCCGTCGCGAACCAATCGGAGCTAGGTCACTTCGATGTGTCTTGCCGTCACTGCTGCCTTCAGGCGATGTTTCTTGCGGGGATCTCCCACCGCATTCATCATCACATCACACACGCACACAGCTTCTTCCGAATGTATCGAAGCCGCCTTCGCCGAATCACAGCCGCCCCCTGCCTTCTGAATTCGCCCGCTGGGGGGAAACTTTCTACGTAAAGCTGGAAGGGGGCCGACTATCGGACTACAGGTCCCCCCGGCCGTGGTGGAGCTCTTTTGGGGGACGCTGCGGAGAGGAAAATAACGGAGGAGGTCATGGACGAGAAGGGGGACGACCAGGAAGAGGATGAGAAAGAGAACCACGCCTCTAGAGGCCATCTTGGGACTTCTGCGGTTTTCCTGGGAGCCGCCCGGAGGCCACCGAGGTGTTTTTGGAGGCCTCCCGGGGCCTTTTCGGGGGGCGAGTCAGTTGGGCGGAGGGCGCGGGTTGGATCAGCCTGCACCCAGATCCCCTCTGGCGGGCCCGGGTCTAGGAACCATGTGGAGCCGCCCCTTCTTCCATTCGCTGACCCAGGTTTGGGAGCTGTTTTTCTGCGATCACTTGCGAACTCAGCCCCGACGGGTCTGGTCGGCGCTGGGGTATCGGACACCGCCGCTGGGGTTCTCTTGGCTGCTGGCATCCTTTCAATGCAGAGCCCGTCCGTTTTTTCAGACATCCCACCTGCAGGGGTAAGGGTTCGCATGGGGTTGCTTATTTATGCGTTCTCGACGTGGTCTTGGCCGACACTCGTTGGCGCTGACTGGACCAGGGCGTTTCCGAATCGCGAGGCGAGCCGGCGAGGGGAGAGGCGCACTTTTTGGCAGGCCAGAGACTGCAGGCTTCACGACCAGCCCAGGACGGCCAGCGCTTCCGATTGTGAGTCTCTCCGCACCCTTGTCGGGGCCCATAACCGAGACGAACAACATTTCCCTGGCGAAGGACCCAACCATATGCGGATGCGAGTGCCGCAAAGCAGGTGGGGCGAAAGCGGGGCAGCTCCCTATGGGGCCACGAAACGTGTGAGGGGTGTGCCGGATCGTGTACGCCATGCGGCTAAGAGACGTGAGGGGTGTGCCGAAGTGATTGTGGTGGCGCCATGCGGACCTTGCCACTGAAGCCTTCGGTGGAGCTCTCCATGGAGCCACGAAGGGTGTGAGGGGTGTGCCGAAATCTGTGCGGTGGCGCCGTGCGGACCCTGCCACTGTGGCCTTCGGTGGAGCTTCCTATGGGGCCACGAACCGTGTGAGGGGCTTGCCGAGATGAGTGCGGGGGCGCTATGCGGTGCCACTGGGGCCTTCGGTGGAGCTCTCTATGGGGCCACCAACCGTGTGAGGGGCTTGCCGAAATGGACATGGGAGGGCTGAGGCAGGAACGGGATGCCGATGGTGATGATGATGATGACGATGGTGACTACGATGACGATGCGGACGTGCGGAGAGCAGAGGCAGGGATGGGAGGAGGGACGAGGGGGAGGAGGACACGCGGGGACCGACGTGTTCGAGACCGCGCCCCAGAAAGCGGGTCTGCCGCCGACAGGTCTTTTTTTTTTGCTGGGCCCCCGAGAGGTCCACTCAGCAGGGCGCCAAGCCTAATTACACCTCCATCCGTCCTGGCCACGCCGATCCGGGGCACAGGTTCGGTGCACACGCCTTCGTGCCCACGCCGGGAGAGCGTATACGGTCGATGTTGATTGCGAAGGCCTTACGGCCGGTGCCGCCGACCCTGAAGGGAGACGACGACGACGACGACGACGACGACGACGACGACGATGACGACGACGACGACGACGACGACGACGACGACGACGACGACGACGACGACGACGACGACGACGACGACGACGACGACGACGACGACAACGGCGCGGGCGGCAACGACGGCGACGCTGACGTGGGCCAGAGTCCTCCGGGATGCTTCTTGGGTTCCCTTCAGAAGTCCCTCGGGGGCCTTGGGGAGGAACTTTGGGGTCTCTTGGGAGCCTCTTGGGAGCCTCTTGGGAACCTCTTGGGGGCCTCTTCGGGCTTCCTGGAGACCTCTTGTGGGCCTCTTGGGGCCTCTTGGGGCCCTTGGGGACCTCTTGGGGCCTCCTGGGAGCCTTTTGGTGCCGAGGGCTCGAAATGCCCATTCGGGTCCCCCGTCTGGGCACGCTCTTGGAGCCGTCTTGGGGGCCTCTTGGACCGTCTTGGAGGCGTTTTGGCTCCTCTTGGTCTGTTTTTGGGCCCTCTTGGAGGCCTCTTTGGCCGTCTTGGGGAGATCTTGGGTGCCTCCTGCGCCGGCTTGTTTCGGCGGGAAGTGGAAAAGGCGGTAATGTTCATTTTTTGTGAAAAGACAGAAACTCAATGAATTTGGCCTCCTGGGGCCTTCTCGGGAGTGTTCTTGGAGGCGTCTTGGGGCGTATTGGAGGCCTCCTGAGCAGTCTGGAGGGCGTGAAGGCGTTTCGGCCCGATCGTTTGGCGATTGGGAACCTCTTGGACCGTCTCGGGGGCCTCTTGGGGCACTCTTGGCCTGTTTAGGTGCTCTCTGAGGCCCCGGGGCCCCCAGGGGGGGATGCGTATTTGACCCCCCCCTACCCCCCCCCCGGGACCCTCCCCCCTCAGAAATCAGGCCGATTACGTACAACCGCTTCGGACCGTTCACTGACTACTTGGGGCAGATTCCAACCACGGAACAGGGGCCGATCGCAACGCGGAGGATTCCTGAAGTAATTCTACGAGACGGACATCGGATTACAATTTTTTGCAGGGCCTCTGAAGCGCTTCTCATGAGCTTCTGGAGCGCTTCTGAAGCGTTACTGAAGCGCTTATCATGAGCTTCTGAAGCGCTTCTGAAGCGCTGTTGAAGCGCTCCAGGAGCTCCCCTGAGGCGCTTCTCA